AGAAAATGATGCTCATGGCACCAGAAAGTGCAGATTTGCTATTGGAAGCTCAGGCTGCCACAGGCCACATAATAGATCCCACATCCAATCAGAAGCTGACAGTAGAGGAAGCATGTGCAAGGGGAGTGGTGGACAACAAGGATCGAGACAAACTCTTGAAAGCAGAAGCTGCTGCTGTGGGCTACCGGGAGCCCAACACAGCTAAACCTCTTTCAGTGTTTGAGGCCATGAAGAAGGGACATGTTGACAAAAAGACTGCGCTCCGTCTGCTGCAGGCCCAGGAGTCTGCAGGAGGAATTCTAGATCCTAACATCAGTGTGTTCCTTCCCAAAGACACAGCTATAAAGCGTAACCTCATGGATGAAGACCTCTGTCGTGCACTAAGCCATGGTCCTCCGTGTTACCTTGACCCAGACACAGAACGTGATGCCAGTTATGGGGATTTGAAGAAAAGATGCAAAACAGAGCCTCGCACAGGCCTGATACTTCTGCCAATCACTGAGAGGAAAGACCCTTCAAAACTGATGTTTGATGGTGTCTGCAAGCCAGTCTCAGCACAGCAGTTGTTTGAATGTGGGGTCCTTGACAAGCCAACATTTAACCAACTAGTGAAAGGGGAGAAAACTGTCCCAGAGGTGTCTTTGGATAAAAAGGTATTTCTAAAGGGGACCGGGGCAGTTGCTGGTGTTGCAGCTGGACCTTTAAAGAAAATGTCTTTTACTGAGGCAAAAAAACTGAAAATCATGACGTCTATCAGTGCTGACATGCTCTTGGATGCTCAGGCAGCCACAGGCCACATCATAGACCCCAGAACTAATCAGAAGCTGACAGTAAAAGACGCATGTGCCCGAGGAGTAGTGAAAAAGGAGGATGAATCAAGGTTATGTGCAGCTGAAGCTGCTGCTATAGGTTACATGGAACCACATACTGCCAAGCTTCTCTCCGCTGGCCAGGCCATGAAGAAAGGAATAATAGACAAGGACACAGCTCTACGTGTACTTCAGGCTCAAGTGTCTGTAGGGGGTATTTTGGACCCTGTTCTTAGTGTCTTCCTACCCAAAGACATTGCTAAGGAAAGGGATCTCATCGATGAAACCCTATCCCATGCCTTGAATCAGTCTCCGGAGTGTTATCTGGACCCAGACACCCAACAAACAACTACATATGTGTGTCTGAAGAAAAAATGTAAAGTTGATCCAAGCACAGGTCTTTTGCTTCTCCCTGAACCTAAAAAGCCATTAACTGTTCAGGGGATTAGGGGCCAGGTGTCAGTCACAGATTTGGTGGATGCAAACCTGCTGAAACAGTCTGATGTGGATCAATTGAGAGAAGGAAGACTGACAAGCCAAGACATTGAAGACCGCCTGAGCTCCTACCTGGGGGGCTCCACCTGCATAGCAGGAGTCTATGATGAGGCCAGTGGTAAGGTGCTGCCAGTCTATCAAGCGATGAAAGATGAACTGTTGCCACGTGGAACCACTCTAGAACTGCTTGAGGCCCAGGCTGCCTCAGGTTTTATAATGGATCCTGTCAACAACCTATACCTGACTGTTAGTGATGCCTACCATAGAGGACTGTTTGGGCCAGAGTTTAAGGACAAACTCCTAGAAGCAGAAATGGCTGTGACTGGTTACAAACTGCCTGGTACAGACAATATACTCTCTCTCTTTCAGGCAATAGAGAGAGGTCTAGTGGAGAGAGGTCAGGGACTTCGTCTACTTGAGGCCCAAATTGCCAGTGGAGGTATCATTGATCCTAAACAGAGCCATCGTATTGATGTAAACATAGCCCACAAGAGAGGCTACTTTGATGATAAAATGAACAAGATCCTGGCTGATCAGGCTGCTGGTAAAAAAGGTTTCTGTGACCCTAACACAGAGGAAAATCTAACCTATCTGGAGCTTAAGAAACGATGTATAACAGACAAGAAGACTGGCCTCATCCTTTTGCCTATCAATGAAAAGACAAAACAAAAATCAACACAGAAAAACACTCTAAGAAAAAGGAGAGTGGTAATCGTGGACCCAGAGACTAAAAAAGAGATGACAGTGCGTGAAGCATTTGACAAAGGGTATATTGACCATGAAACCTTCGTTGAACTGTCCATGCAGGAGTGTGAGTGGCAAGAGGTCACTATCACTGCTCCAGATGGTTCCACACGAATGGTTTTCATTGACAAGAAAACTGGAAGAGAGTATGACATTACTGAGCTGCTTAAAAAGAAAGTAATCAGTGAATCAGTTCTCCAACAGTACCGTACACAAAGCATCACCCTTACTGCATTTGCAGATATCATTACCAATAAGATTGGACGTGGATCATCCTCATTATCATCATTGCTTTCATCATCATCAGCAATTCCAAGATCATCAGCTGCCACAGGCACTTCTTCAGTGACATCTACATCAACGTCAAGACCATTAATGTCGTTGGGTACGTCTTCCATGACATCATCAACTACAAAAACATCAGAAGCCTCAGTTCCATCTTCGCTGAAATCATCATCATCATCATCATCATCATCATCATCAGCTGTGTCAAGACCCTTATCACCTACCTTTGCCAAGATGACCACAACAAGAACTACCACGATCACAGAGCGAGGCTCCGCAATCAGTAGTGCTGTTCGAGACTCACCTGACTCTTTCAAGCATATATCAAGCATGTCTGTCACTTTGGCATCCCCTGATGAAGCAGTGGGTGAACAGGAACCGGTGGGTGCCATTTTTGACACAGACAATGTGGAGAAGATATCTATCACAGAGGCTTTAAATCGTGATCTTGTGGATTCCATAACTGCCCAGAGACTGCTTGAGGCCCAAGCCTGCACTGGAGGAATTGTCAATCCTGCAAATGGTGATAGGCTCGGCATCCAGGAGGCCGCACAATTGGGCATAATACATGATGACATGGTTACTAAGCTCAAACCTGCCCAGAAAGCCTATATTGGCTTTGAGGATGTAAAAACAAGAAAGAAGATGTCTGCTGCTCAGGCTTTGAAGGAGATGTGGCTGCCATATGAGGCAGGGCAGAGATTCATGGAGTTTCAAGTTGTAACAGGAGGGCTTTATGATCCAGAAGTAGGTTGCAGAAGAACCATAGAAGATGCTTTGAAAATGGGCTGGCTGGATGGGAGAGCAGCCCAGAAACTCCAAGATATGAAAAACCACCCAAAGCTCCTAACATGCCCTAAGAGCAAGCTTAAGATATCCTACAAAGAGGCCCTGGACAACTGCCTGGTAGAGGAAAGCACTGGGGTGAAAATGCTCCAGGCATCATCTGTTTCTTCCAGAGGAATCAGCAGTCCATACAATGTTGCTTCTGCCCCAGGATCCACCACAGGTTCCAGGAGTGGCTCACGGCGAAGCTCCCGCAGGGCCAGTTTGGATCTTGGCTCCCCCACCTCCTCATCAACTGGTCGCTACAGTCTTACAAACGTCACCAACTTTCCCTTCTATAAATAAAACTAAAACAAAAAAAGGTCATGCACAGACATATTTGCAAATAAATCACAATTGGTTAGAATATTTTCAATGCTCAAAAAAGATTAGTGGAAAATGTGCGTGTTTGTGCAGAGTAATGTTCTAAATTCTTGCATAGTTTTAGATTTAAGCTTAGGTGTTGTTGTGCTTAAAAATGCTACAGTTCAAATAATCAGAATAATGAACACTACCAGGATATTGTTTTGAAAATGGACAAAAAGACTAAAGGCAGGCGTGTTAAGGTGTTTGGATTGAAGATAAAGTTTATGTTAATGTAGCTGTTAGTAACCCAGAATGGGCTTTGACATGATTACCATATTATTTGTATGCATACACATACTTTAATTTTTAACAAAACAAAGACAACAAAAATGTACTTTCTTGATGCTTTTAATAGATAACATAATGGTACTTACAAATACCTGACATCAAAAATATGTTACCTGCCTGTTTTTTGTGGGGAGGGATGCTAAATTGGGTTGCATTTATGGGCTTTACTGCTGTTTTTTCCTCAATCAGATAAGCATTGGTTTGCTACTGTTTAGTGCTTCCAGTTTTGTAACAGTTTTGCTACTCTCTCAAAATAAAACCTGAGTCTTTTGCTCATGTGTATTCGTGACTTCTAATTTGTGTTCATGCAGAATCCAACCAGTTTTTCTCGCTACATGTCAGATATAGTTATTGCTCAGCTTGTATGAAACTATTGTTGTAGATCATAACTTGAAAGGGATATATTATGTACTGGTACTAACAACATGTAAAAGGTGTTATTAGCAATAAGGCAAATATTCTGCCATACAGAGGCAAAGTGCAGTATGTGCAATTTTTCTCTTTGGCTTTGACAGTATTGTCTCTTAACAAATAAAATTTTTGGATAAGTTAGAATTCTAAACTGAGAGCAAAATGCAGTATATTTATATCTCATGCTGGAGCCAGACCAGGTGAGCTAAATCCCCATGACCCCATGGGTGAAGCTGAACTCCACCCACCAAGCTCCTGAAGGGATACGCCTAGTATAGCTCTCCCTAATTGTTGACACAGAAACTCCACTCATAGCACAGGTTCGTCCAAGCTGTCCAAATTTAAAAATGGACACCCTGGGTACCAAAGAAAGTCCTTTGACAGCACAGCTGGAGAAAAGATTACACTGAGTATAAGTGGCAACAAGACATAGAACAAACCAAGTGGGGCAGTACAAAACATAAAACATTTACATGACAGGGCCAACTCCCTGTCCCCACAGCACTCAAAACAATACATCAAGTCACTATCTACATCCAAATCCAATATCTATGACACTAAACAGAAAGGTAGCCAACTTTTACCATTAAATATGTCTAAAATAACAACTCCAAAGTCTTGAATGTCAGTGAGCATCCATTTAAACCAAATGGCAGCTTATGCCAAAAAAAAAAAGAGTTTCCCCCAACCTGGTCAACAAACAACAACTATAACTAACTAGGGAGGGGAGAACATACATAAGTTATAACCAAAAATAAGGCCTTACACACTTAGCAGCTGTCTTCATGTTATGCCAATAACATTGTACTGTATTAGCTTATTGCAGCACTAGCTAACTAGCTAAGCATCACTGGGTAATGGTGATTTAAGATTATTTTTATGGAAAGATTTTAAATATCAACTCATACACATGGGTAAGTTATAACTTGTGTCCAAGGCCCATCAAGTCTAAATTAATTGATCGCAATCAAAACATTTGAAAATCCAAAACAATTTAACATTCATACTGCAAAGTCTAAGCAACACCAAAAGTTGAAAATCAAGTTGATATTATTCACAAGTAACACGTTTGTAGATCAAATCGACCCATGCAGAAAGCTTTATCCCAGAATCGTTGGGGAAAACACCCCTTTTGAAAATTTTTCATTTCGTTTTATAATAACAAAGCTGTAATCTGTTATATTTTCATTAAATTTTCTATTTGTTCACTTAATCATACTTCTTGTGTACATGTTATGTTGATATTCAATGTCACCCTGGGTTACCTTTTTGTGTCTGATCTGCTGGAGAAATAAAGAAGAAAAAACACTTTTATTCTGTTGCTTTTATGGGAAGAAGTTATCGCGGGTTTTCAAAATAAAGATCCTCGCTTGTTTCATGCTTTTATTTGGGGGGGGCAAATGCAGTGCTGTTAATATTGAGATCCACGTGTTAACAGCGTCACCTCTGAAATCGATGCCTGCAACTATACAGTAAAGTGCCTTTTTAAAAACAGACCCTGAATGTGACAACGAAGCTATTCTAAAATCCCTTCACACTAAAATTATTTTCTATATATAACATTATTCAGTTCGCTAGGAATTTTATTTTGATAGTGTCACCCGGAGGTATTTTGATGACAACAACAGTTAGCATGTACTGTCAGCGGATGTCGTCAGTGTAATTTAGGATATTTATGTGTTGTACAGCTCATGTGGCGTCCAGCTAAACGCCATGTAGTGGTTTAAAAGATATTGTAAACCTCAGCGAAGAAACTCTCCAGAAATGTTTTAGCTTGTCGGTTATATGTTGAAGATAGCGTTAGCTTGTAGGCTGAAGTTATGTAGCAACTAACTGTAACTTACACAAACACTACGAACTGGAAACGTCGTGAAACACACTAAGGTAGGCGTCTAGTGAACAAGTCACCTGGTAATTAGTCGTATCTTTAAAATAATTGACTTTGCCGCCTTCACAGCGTTGTTTTCAGCATCCGTCTTTGTTAACTCCTGCTTATTTGTAGCCTCCATTGTCCAGGTCAAATAATGGCTGATGACCCTCAGAGAAATTTTCGTTCTGCATATTATGAGAAAGTGGGCTTCAGAGGAGTGGAGGAGAAGAAATCACTGGAGATATTGCTCAAGGATAATCCTCTGGGTAGGTAACTGTTCATGTTCACCAACGTGCAGTGAAATCCTGGGTGTCAGACTTTGATGAGTTTTCTGCAAAGCAATCACAACATTTAACCTGTTAACAGAGTGACATCCCAGTAAGATAATCTTCTGTATTGCAAGGAAAACATTTAGAATGCAGGACACTGTCAGGTAATTCTAGCCATGACAATCCCATTTAAAGCCAATATTTCACATGTGTAAATCCCTCTCATACATATGCCCTTTCTTGGCAAGGGATACCTAAGATCTTGGTTTCATCATGTTGTTAAATTGATGGCGTTCTGTCATTCAGACACAGGCCACTTTTGCGTCAGTGTTCCTTCATTTACCAGTGAAAGAGAGACAAGCTCACAGCATGATGTGACAGTGTTTGCAATAGCCTCTTATGTTGTGAGTAATGTTTTCCAGTTCTCAAGATCCCATAAATGTTCACTGAGGTTGCCGTCAGGTGACTGTGGAGGAAAGTCTTTGACAGTCAGCATACCTTAGTCTTCTTTGCTCTTTAAGTAGTTTTTACAAAGCTTTAAGATGTGTTTACTGTACTCTAAAATGCTGGTATGTCCCACCCCAAGAGTTTAGTCTTGTTTCCCTTCTTGAGAAATGCTTTGGAGACAGTACTCCTCCTCTGAGATCACTGCTGGACAGACGTATTTTAACGGGACTTTGTGTATCTGTAATGGTGTTCTATCTATCTATCTATCTATCTATCTATCTATCTATCTATCTATCTATCTATCTATCTATCTAAGTGATTAAAACTAGATGTATTGATCTTCTAACAGCATTCTTGCTTCTGGTCTGCCTAATTGTATTTTGAAGACAATCGATCCAGTTTCTACAAATTGTTTCAGGGTTCCATGCACTGTCCTCTTAAAAACCTTCAGTCTGGCCATCATGCTTAAGCCCCTTTTTGCTGAACAGTGACTGCAATATACTATATATATACTTGAACAAGCCTAATGAAATACCAGATGAGTTTTTGCTTTTCTCTTTCAGATCTAGAGAAGCTGAGCACCTTCAGTCAGAGGTTCCCCCTCCCCTCCATGTATAGGATTCATGTGTGGAAGGTACTGTTGGGTAAGAAATACACATAACCAGTCACGCACACCATTGAAGGTGTTTCCACACACCTCAAATCCAATCTATAGTAACCATGCTGATAGGAATAGATGAACCAGATAAAATCAACAGTATATCTTAAAACTGGTTTTCAAATATTGAAGAAGAAGAAGAAGAAGCTTTGGTGTCATTGTACAAAAAAGAAATACAACGAAATTTTGTTTGGCCTTGTCTTTGTAGCAGATAATATGGTCACAGTTTGTTGTTGCAGTAATTGCCACTTTAAAATGAAACAGTTGTGAGCCACAGCATAGACATATGCAGACTGTTAAGTGGACGATGTTCATGACTAGAGCTTCCCCTCCAGCTTATGCTCTGTTTGATAATGGTGGAATATTCAGTCTACACATTTTATGACCTTTACATTATTTGGAATTGCTCCTGGTGGATTTCTTTTCATGATGGTTCATGATGTAATCTGGCCTAAAAAGGACAATGAAATATTCACTCAAAGGAATCGGTTTTAATCCATGTATCTGTTGAAAACCTTCCAGTGTCCACGCTCCCTGATTCCTATTCTGCTGTCCCTCCAGGCATCCTGCCTCCCCACAGTGACTCGCATGCTCTGGTTGGAGGCTACAGAAAGGAGCAGTATCAGGATATCTTTGAGGCCCTGGAGGTGATGAGGTACATCAACTCCTCCACACCTTCCACCCACGTCTACCTGCGCATGTTCCAGCTGGAGAGCCAGGTCCTCCCACGGTGCTCCGAGACCTCGCCCCCAGTAAGATGAAGCCTATAAAGTGATATTGTCATATCTGAGATGGAATGGATACAGCATCAGACAGGAACATTAGATGATGTATAGGGCAGTGAAGCTGCAGCTAGCACCTCGATTGCAGTTCAAGGTCAAACTGAACCAGACATGTGGGATTTGATATTGCAGTTGTCCTTGAGATGTTCTAGTGACGGTCCTAAATGCAGAACTAATTACAGAAAAAATTAGGAATGTTAGGCTGTGATGTGGCAATACATTAAAAAAATATGGATTTAACTGTATTTCATTGGATAGCAACCATCAGCAGGAATATATGAAGACAACAGGGTTTTTAAGTAATATGTATATTGTATGAAAAGCACTGATATGAACATTTGTTTAAAATTGATGCGTCAATCTTGCAGACAGTAAAACAATCAGGGGGGTGTTGATCTGTGTGTTGATCTAGTAGCTGCATTCGTTCAGACCTGCAGCTGTCGTTTACATTTGTTCATAGGCATGATTGAACATTTTTGCTGGAGTTCTTCCAGATTACATCATAGTAATGACCTGAGTCTGCTGTATCTTAAGGGGCAAATGGTAGTGAGAGAATGGTGTGTTCAGATCAGTTAGTAAGTGGCCTACAGATTTTGTATCATCAAATAGCATCTCATTATAAATCATTGCTGAACTGATCTATAATTAGTGGAAACCACACAGATAATGAAGTTGGCAGCTTTTCATTATGATTGGCGCACAGTTACAGAACCCTAAAGATTAAGCCATGCATAGATTAATATTAGAACATCACTTGCAACCATGATGACATCAGTACCTGACTAAGGAGATACAGTTGTGTGCATAGTTAACCAAGGAAATCACACAGACTTGTATTTGGCAGAGGGATTATGTCTTAGTCACCCACAGTTACTTATTCTTAATTGTAATGTTTCGAGTTAGAATTTGTGTACACAATGTATGTATTTCACGATGTGCAATAGCTTTTTTTGGTTTCAGGATGAGGAGAATGAAGACTTCCTGTCCATCGGCCGAGCCATGGAAGAGATTGTAGATGATCCTGTTGACTGTTATTGGCTGATCAAGTGTTTTGTAAATCAGTTCCACACAAAGTTTGGAGATTCAATACCACACCTTGTAAGTACTATATTTCAGTGGATAGTAAAATGTAGTTTCAAAAAAGTCGTTTCATTACAACATATGCACAGGGCTCACTGACTGAACATTTGTAGTTGTTCAGTTAAAAGATTGTATATTGTATTGCTCACTCAGAAAGCTTGTAATGCTCAGATCATTTTATTTATCTTTATGGCTTGATCTTACTTCTCAGAAGACTTTTTAGGAAATCTGGTTTATTTATTTATTTTTTTTAAGTTGTGCACTGAAAAGTTAAAGGTTGTTGATTTCTCTTGAGTGCAAATGTTAACTACAACCATTTGTGACAAACTATCAGAGAAGAGATGATGCTAGTGGATGTGCGTCCAGTTCCACAATGATATTTATACAACAGAACCAGACGTATGTGCAGACTAATATATCCTTGTACATATTTCTACCTTTGTGCAAGTTTAGTTGGGAATTTACAAATAGTTTAAACATGCATCATGGCAATCGGTGATGAGAGAGATACAAATCGCAGTACACAGGGGGATGGAGCCTATCCCAGCTGACATTTGGCGAGAGGTGGGGCACAGGTCGCCTGTCACAGAGCTAACGGACAGTGACAGACTGCCATACACGCTCACACTCACACCTAGGACACCAAATTTAGAATCACTAATTAACCTACCATGCATGTGTTTGGATTGTGGGAGGAAGCTTGAACGGCTGGAGACAACACATGCAGTCACAGGTAGAACATGCAAACTCTACACAGAACCTTCTTGCTGTGAGGCGACACTGCAAACCACTTCATCGCCACCCCACATCAGGGATTATAGTGTAAATGTAGTTTAGTCTCATAAAGTTCTCATGACCTAGGAGTTTAGATCACATTGGTTTTGTATGTGCATCACTATAAATTACATGTGTTGTTTACTCCTGTTTGGACTCTTCTTTTCTCGTGTAGCCAAAGAGCCTGGAGCATTATCTGAGTCAGGAGGAACCTCGACTTCTAAACCATCTGAAGAACACAGGGGCCCTGGCTCAGCTACCCTACAGCCTCTGGTTCAGACGCTGCTTCGCTGGCTGCCTGCCTGAATCGAGCCTGCAGAGGTCTGTTTTGATCACTCCAGATGCCCATCATTTCACCATACATTGACTGAGCCAGCACAGCAAGGATTCACATATTTTCTTGACAGTATTTTTTGTAGCATAACTGTTTTTGCTGTTAAGGCTATTTAAAAAAAACTCTCTTTGGTGAGCTACTAAGAGACAAGTAACATCTGGAGGCCTGACATTTTAATGCATGCCTCCCACATTTTGCAGGTGTTTACAAGCCAGCCATTAATTTACAATCTCAACTCTGATTGATTTGTTGGAAACAAAGTAGTTCATTTCTCACGGGGTCTGTTTCTGTGCAGCATTTGTCTTATTCAAATAGCAACAGTGCTTCAGTTACAGCATGTGGAATTATAAAGTCACTGCTGTTGACAATTTTTAAGGACTCTTACCAGTTTAGTAGAGTGTAAACCACTTCTGTACGAATGTTTAACAGAATCAAAGCAAGTACAAACTGGTGTTCTTCTGGTTGTTGCTTCTGTATGTTAGGATGTTTGCATATTTTTCAACCTCTTTACATTCGACATAAGGCTGCTGGGCATCTTTTTTGATGATTCAAATTTCAGTTTACTAAGAATGGTCCGTCCCAACTGCAACTGACGCAATTATCTCACTGTGCACAGCGATGGTGCTTGTGTTGATTCCCACAAAAAAAATCTCTTTTTAATCATCCATGAAAGCATTTTACTTTAGTCTTTTTCTTACATGGGATATGTAGCACCACTGACTTCATCCTCTGTGAAACTGACAGCATTCTCTCATGTAGACATAAGTCAAAGCTCAACCTGAGGACAGCCGCTATGTTACAAATGGTTTAACTACAGCTGATAAACTGACTCTGTCCAATGTGAAGAAAAGTAAAGTTGCTGTTTGATCCTGATAAATCCTGTCCCCATGTCGGATATAATTTACAATTATAAGTAAGGAAAGGAAATGACTGCTCTTATGCCATGTGCACAAATCTCTCACTTTGGAGACACTCATAAGGATCGATTGCTGTTGGGACTTTTGCAGACATAAAGCCAAATGGATAGAATCGCATTTCTGAAAGGGACTTAGTGAGAGTCGAAGTTGTCTTTATGTTGAAATGCACCATTATTGTGATATATAGTTCACCTAAGCACTCAGTCGTCATGCCTGTCCAAAGCTAAGATGTCTCTTTCATGATTATTATATGCTCAAGACAGCAGACCTTAAATCCCTTCGACTGGTCTAATTGTTGAACTGTCTTTAGGGTGTGGGACAAGGTGATCAGTGGCTCGTGTAAGATCTTGGTGTTTGTGGCCCTGGAGATCCTGCTCAGCTATAAGATCATATTGATGGGCATCAACCGTTCAGAGGGTGTGGTCAAGTTCTTGTGCAATGTAAGTAAATGATGACACTATTGTAGTAGAAGTGTGTGTACCTTGATTTTAACAACAACAGCATTCAGTAGTGTCTCACAGGCCATATTTTTTACTGCCACTAAAATGCTGGCAAAAAAAAATAACACAAGTATCAGTGATGCTTCATTGTAAGACTCTGACCTGTTTCAAGTATAAAAAAGTAAATGAACTCTCTGAACTCTAAGTATTTACTCAGAGTGGGCTTATTTTTCCCTGCAATATGAAGTCGTGAAATTCTATGGAAACTGCAAAACCATGGCTAGAAGCAGAGAGAACTATGAAATGTCTTTTGTGCAGTATGACACAGTTATGTCATGACTCATAAAAGAAGAAAAAAAATAAGTTGCATTTCTTTAAATATTGTTGCAACTGGAAGAAAAATACAATCATGAAAAAAAAATCAACTGTTCCCAAATATTACCAATAGTGGGGGAAAAAAGTGTACATGATGCAGATATTTTACTATTTGCCTTTTTAATTTGTTTCCATTGTTTACGAAAAGTCCCTGAATTTTTTTGTCACTTGACTGTTGGTCACAGCTGAATGATTAATGGCTTGATGGGTGAAGTAGTGCAGAATTTTTTGTTGCTTACAACTTTTTAATGTGATATGTAAAGTGGGGTGATTTTGATAAAATATCACGACGGAACATTATGTCATAGATGAGGAGTTTGAAAGTTAAAAATCCAGAAATTTGTTTTGTTTTTACAGTTTCTGGCTCTGATAAATGGGACAACTTTAGTGAGAACAAGTCTTTCAGACCCATGGGCATGTTTTAGGGTTGAGAGGGTTAAAGACGAAAAACACATTTATCATTGAATTAACTATTAAGTCCAGCAGGGCGATTTAAGCTTTAGAATTACACAAAATAATGCTGCTTTTTTGTGTTTTTGACAACTCTGAGGACACAGCCTACTTGTTTGAATAAAAGCTGTTGGAAATGTCACTTAATAGAATTGACCAGTGTTTGTGTAATTTACCTTAGTGTGAAGAGAGTAGTTGCAGGTTCTAGACGTCCTTGTTTGGATCAAAGGGCATGCGTAGCCAAGGAAGTCTTATGCTGAACCAAATGGTTCAGGATGCATCATTACCCCCAATGTTTCCCCACCACACAGAAATAAATAGCTTCTGCCCTTGTAGGTGCTCTGTGTAACCTTTGCGTACTGAACCTGTCTCTTCCAGATACCGCAGGAAAACACAGACGCTATTGTGACTAAAGCCATTGACTTGTGGCACAAGTATTGTGGCACTCCAATGCATGCTGTATAGCCACATTAAGCCAGACAAGGACAATATCTGGGGCAAAGGTGAGATGCTTTCTCAGAATCCACCAGAAGTCCACAAAGAGACTGTGTCGTTGACCATCCATTGGGCTTCGTCTCTGCATGACTGAACTGGAAACTCATCGCAGGTGACTACTGATAAGCAAGAGGACACTGGAGCCACTTTTCACATTGACAAGTCGACTTCCAGCTTTCCCCTGAGGACATTCAATCTGTACTGGGAAAGAGACTTGAGTTGACATGAGCACTGTAAACAACTACTGCACAGAGTGGATGATGAGCTGTTCATTGAAGCATGTGTGTGAATTTCACATGGAACCTGTTTGTAAAAAGACAAGGAAGCACAAACTTATTTTTTTTAATAAGTTTCTTTCTTTAAGAAACTGCATACATCATAGAAGACTCACAATAAATTAATACCCACATGCAGTTTTTCTGCTTTACAAAAAACATTTGAAAAGCCTCTTACTTTCTATGTACATCCTCTTAGTATTCTGAGAATATCTTTCTCTCAAAACATTTTTAAATGTACAAGTGACAGTAACATTACTGATTCTTGTACACAACCATACACACACACATACTTTCACACACACTATCATAATACACACTCAACAGAGCAACACGTTCTCCTCAATTATATGGTCAAAACTGCCAAATCATGGACCCAGTATGAACCATTTCCTTATTTTGTACCATAAAAGACCCCACAATAAACAATGAAGTACAAAAAAAAAAAAAGTCTACTTTCTTTTAATTCAGCAGAGAACTCAGTAACATTTGACTGTGTCTACAGATAATATTCTGTATCAAATGAACAAGGTGTTTTGGCAACTTTTAATTTCCCTGTAAACAATACTGTAGGCACAGTGACACAGTGAGTTACTGAACTCTCAACAGCAGTCAGTCTGGGATGCATTCAAGGTCACGACCTCCACAGCAAGTCAAGTTGCTTTGGTTTAAAATGGGAATTTAAAGTCTAAAAAAAAAAAAAATGTCAGAGCTCTTGAATGAAGCCCATAAACAGATGGACGAGTAAGGAGAGAATCTGAAATTATTGCTCAATTGATTGACGTGACTGTTAGGAGGTTGAAATTTATACTGTTACGTTTTGTGTAGAGAGCATTTTGGGAGTTTGATTATGGTTATAGGACAATTTGGCTTTCAATTCAGCTGCCTTCAACAGTTTACATTGTTGTACATATTTTCATTCCTCTGGCAAATGACAAACAATGCCTAAGATGTCATCTGTGAGCAAACACACGTACATCCCCAAGGAAAGACGATGTCCAGTAGAGAAAGTAGAAGTAAGAACATGGTAAAGGCAAGAAAATAATAATAAAGAGAAAACAAAGCCCTATCTTCCCTTCATACCATTCCCATCCTTGAAATTGGCACAGATTCTGTGTTTGACCTCCAGTGGCCTTGTTCAAAAACAGAAGTGCTGCAAGGTAAACATATCGCCACCTCTTCATCATAAAAAAATGACAATTAAAAGCTTTTGAATATCAAGAAGTCTGCAAAATCTCCACTGAGGGGAGATGACAGTCGAAAGTTTAATCCATATTAAAGTTCTCTTCTCCCATTTCCCGTAATGGCTCAAAATCACGCGTTGAGGACAACCCGTCAGTTTGAAGTTGACGCTGGAGAGCGTTAGCAGTACGAGGGCAGCAGGTAGCAGTCGGAACACTTGAGGCTTCTCTGGGAGTATAAAAAACATGGCCGAGGTCTGACTGAGCCGTTTTACGGTCGGTGAAACCTACAAGGAGAAACCATGAAGAGAAAGTGACTACGTTTCAAGAAATGCTCGCAGTGTAGACTGTCTTAGAATGAAAAATCTTAAAGTTCTTGTCCTGACATTGTTGAAACCCTAACTCATCTCTGTGTATCAACGTTTTCTACATGTAGATAATCACTTCCCTGCCTTTAAAAGGGCTTAACCATACACCTTTGCCTCCTTTTGAATGTGCCGTTCTGTTTATAGTAACTCTACTACTTGCCTACAACTTTGCCTAAACACTGTAAAACTGCTCTGTGCTACATAATGGCAGGCTGTAATATTGCAGTAATCCAGCCAAACATGTCTCAGCCGGAAACCCATTATGAAGAAGAGGAACCGCGAATTGTACGCGGTTACCTACAAGTCAATCTATCAGAATGATAGGCTGCATTTCAAATTAAGTTATTTTCCCTTTCAGTATGTACTACAGCTCCCCTTACAAAGCATGCACTGTTGTATGCTATATACATACAACTGGGACACACTACTTCATCACAATCGTGTGCCTACACTTTGAATGTCTTGGTCTTGTATCTATCTCAATCTTTGGTGTGAAATGAGCTGTCATCCGTCTCTGTGTTACTGGCTTCTCAAGCTTGTTCATACTAGTATGAGAAACTGACGTCTGTGAAGAATCTTCAGAATGGCCAGAAAAGCACTTTCTGATTTTCTATATCACTATTCTCCTTCCAAATCTTTCTTTAACTTTGAAAGTGTACAGTCGAATTATTCCAGTATTACAACTTGCCATTGTATAGCCTAGAGGACTTTTACAGTATTTGAGCAAAGTCAAAGGCTAGCTGGTGTGCCCCAGCTGAAGTGAGGGGTAGGCGGAGAGAGAGATCCACACATTCTAAAAGAGGCAATGGTGTAGAATCATTTTATAGACAAAAGTTCTAAATATGTCACTCTGATACAGGGATGAGTTTCTGGGAATTTAATTAATGACCGGAGAGAAAATTTCATACAGAAATTCATGAATCCAGAGGATGAATACCCTGATATTTTATTGAAAAAAATATTCACTTCTGTTTACAATAGAATACCTCTAAAACAAACAACGTAATTCCAGTAAGCTTTATTTGTACTTTGGTGTTCATGCTGACATGGTGTTATTTTATAGCCCGTTTAACAGAGCTGAATCTGAAGCATTTTTCCACCATTATGTTGAGACGTCTGTAGCTCTTCTTGCAGAGCTGGAGTTACTGTAGCTGTCAGAAATTCCCTGACTTGAAATTACAACTAGGAGGGTAATTTGAAATTTTCACACTTGGCTGCTCATAATTATGGCCCTAACAATTTGACAGGAGCACAGCCCAGATACAGCAGAGGCTGGCACAGTGAAGCTTGAAAAGCTTGAACTGATAAAAGTTAAACCGGGGCTAAAAATGTAATCTGAGATTTTTTGAAACTCCCAATAAAACAAAACATTCCAACATAACTGCTATTCTAATGTATAAACTTTAAATTTTTTTGTAATGAGCATTAGAGCCTTATGAGGCCTGTTGCGCATCCACAGAGTATTGTGTCACAAGTCAGTAAGCAAGAGTGTAACTTCACCTGGTCAGATGTCGGCTCGACTCATGCACCTCCATCTCTGTGCTTTTAAATTCATTCAGCTCCTTTCTAATGGCAGCCTGCACAATACACAAAGAAACTCAGACTTAGTAAGTACATATACACAGACATCACACAGTTAAATATTCCTTAGTTTTGTTGTGGGTTTGTGTTAGGGGAACCTTGTCAGCAGCTGTGAGCCGAGTCCATGGCTTGTCTGCTCTCCTGTCGTAGTCCTGAGCCTCGGCCACCTCCACGTAGTCACTGAAGCGGATGAGGATCTTGGCCTCCCTCAGTTCCTCGACTGTGGGCCTCTGGCTGAGCTGCGAGATGGAAGACCTCGTTAATTCACTAAATGTTGACGGCATGCGTGTTAACAAGTCTGTGTAGAAAAGATGTTTTAAGTATCATACTTCTGAGTGAAAAGCAGCTGGTTCATTTCTCTTTTTTGGTGTAAGAAATTAACCATATCTTTTTTCCTTTCTCGTATATGTACGGTCTTTCATTGATTTTGAACATATCTATGATTCTCCAATGTGTCTAGAGACCTGCAAAATATGAGTAAAGACCATCCTATTATTTATTTTCTTTCTCCATAAATCAGAACGTGCCTCTGAACAAGCCTTTCAGGTTTGCAGCCTGCTGTGATGTCACAACAGGACAAGCACTTCTCGGCTGGCTCCTCCTCCTCTGAGCTCCTCACTGCATCCCTCACTGTATCTGCAACCATCTTTCTAAAAGAGGTGTGGGCAGCTGCAGCTCAGTTGGATGTAAAGCTACAAACACTGAAACAGTGTGGTTGACACCCAGCTAAAACCAGGGGTGTGATAGAATGTCCCATCTGTGCTGTATTGTAAGCTGAAACTTGAAATACACATTCTGGAGACATGCAGAACTTACATTAACTTGTTAAGATGGACACAACAGCAGACCTTTTATATCTGTGAAGCACTGATAATGAAGAAAGATCTATTTTTTCAAAAAAATACCAGAAACCACACAAAGTTATGCAATACTGCCAAAAGTGAACAATTCTCTAAATCCTTCTTGTAATAATACATTTTGTTTACTTTCTAAAGAAAACTAAAATTTTGCCTCTGCACTTGGATCTGCATCAAAATGTAATACAATTATAGCCTAGGTGAAATTGTATGACTTTTTCACCCAATTAAGTAGAGTAGTTTAAAAGAAAAGTTTGAAGTTGTCTTGTCTTTTAATGCTTACTGATACTAAATAATAATCACTTGCTCCTTGGCTCATGGCTTAATGTCCTTTTATTTTTATTTTCATTTGATAAAGAGAAAACAAATAGATGTAAACTTAAACCCTTGCAGCTTCAGTGAAAAAACGCATATAAGTTAAATTGAAATATTAACTATTTAAATCATGTAAATTTGGAGGATATAGTGCAATTATTATTCTACAATAATTAAATCATCATTACTGTGGCAGCCACTGAACAATAGCAGGGACAGTCCTGAGATGTCAGTGGAGATGATCACACACACGCACACAAAACCAGATGATGTAATTGATAATACTATCATCTTTTTAAAGGGCTAAAATCTGAAGGGTGGCAGCTCAGTCACCAAGGCAACCGTGCTAATATTTGTAGTTTGGGTTATGAACTAACCATGTGAACATGCTGATCAAAGACTTTCTGTCCATATCCCCTCTGCCTTACCTTTCTTGATAAATGTCTCTTGATCTCTCTCTTCTCCTCCTGCTCCTCCAGATCATTTCGAGCTGGAAGGAACGGCAGAAAGGCCTCGATCACACACAGCAGTAATTAATATTCCATTTTTTTTGCCTCTTATATTATGCAAAGCAACTTACGTTTCAGTATGTTCCTCTGTTCCAGCTCCTCCGCTGTCGGCCTTTGACTCAGTCGCCTGAAAAGAAAAGAATGAATCTATTTTAGAAAACCTATTTTTAAATAATTTTTAGGTTTTGTGTGTGAATGCTTCCAGATCATCTTTATTGTATTTGACTCATGCAAAATCTTACGCAAGAGATTTTACTCCTGTGGACAGACTGGGCAGAGAAGCTGACTGTGCATGTACTGTCAGTTTTATGAGGTAGTATTTTGTGGATTTACAGAGTGTGTAGGCGCTGACTCAGAGAGAATACAAAGGTAGGATGACTGATAGTGAGCGAGAACAGGAGGAGGATAGAAGAAGCAGGATGCCAAAACAGGAGGCTGTGGCCACGGAGAGGGTGAATAGATCAGCCAGAGGAGGAGGAAAATGTTTTCTGAGTTGTTTCTCTCCTGAGCAGGATAACGAAACGCTACCAGTGTGGCTACTCAACGAATGTTAAGATGTTGTATTGTGTATATCAGTATAAACATATCTGAGCAATATTACGTAACAGGGTGTTCTGATATACTAAAGCTGGAGTGTCAAATTCTCAGCAAGGTCCATTAGTATCTGTAACAGAACATCTCAAGTGCATTATTGTGCTTATCAAAGGAACATTTTATTAACACATTAATCAATAAAGAAAATGGTAAAATGTATACAATCATAAATACTCTACTCATGTTGAAATAAAAAACAGTCATATTTTGTGACAAAATTGTTTTTGATGTTGGAATGAATTCTGAATAATTACAATTCAGCTTGCATGATTATTTTTGGAAACATATTTGTGTCTGTTATTGTGGCTTCTACTTAAATTCGATTCACCTTCAGTCTTGATACCACATGCTGTACTGTACTAGTACATGTCCTGCTCTTCACCTTTAATCTCTCAGCTCTGCCTCCTCCCAGCATTATGACTCATCATCCATCATCTGCTCCCTGTAGCAGCCAGGTCACATCTATCACAGCTCACATGGGCTGAAACACTTTGCAGGTGACTGGGTCTGCATGTGGAGTACTGTGGGTACGTATAAGACGCGCATGCTGACGTATGTGATAGCTCGAGTGACTCGTTGCCACGCCAGCGTGCATGCTGGTAATCCGGTGGCTCACCTGGTCAGTTTGGTGGCTGTTTGTTGTCGGGATTCGAGCCGCTCCTGGTCCGACTGCAGCGGCAGGATGTTTTTCTCCTCCAGCTCCCTCTTTGATGGACGGTTACTCAGCTTGATGGCCAGAGAGTCTTTTCGTAAAACCTTCATGGCTAGTGTGCCTTCAAGCATACGACAGGGGAAATGGATGTAAAGTGTCATCTCAGCTGAACATTTCCAGGAGGTTGATCTCTCACTTTATGGGCTGATTGTAAAGAGTGCATACAGATTTTCTTTTTGTGCTTCATGTCATTTTTGTACCTATACATCATAGAAATGAAAGCCAAAAAAAAAAAAAAAAAAAAGATATCAGGAGTTCCCCAAAGGCAAATTTAGATACTAGATGATGATCTAAAGAGACAACATTATGCTACTTAACAGGTTGTTTCTCTGAGGCTTAACATATTTCATAAAAATGTAACTTAAAATGTAAAGTTACATAAAATAAATTTTTGTGTAAGTTTATAACTGACATTAGTGTACTGGGTACTAAGGCACTGCACCTCCACTGCTGGTATTGCAATGTCCTTTCTGGGTGTGGAATAAGGCGACTCTATGCTCACATGCTAGCCATAACAACTTGATATGGCTGTGTGTTTTTTAGTTTGTTGTGGAGTCCACCTGCCTGCTAGTAGCCAAAGAAAGTCAATTACTGCAGCTTTAAAGAATCCGTACTCTGCGTTTTTGGTTTTTCCCTTTTATTCTATGTGTTAAACCTTTTTTTTTTTGCGCATGTACAAACTCTGCAATCTTACAAAACCCAACGTACACACCAAAGGGAGTTATTCTGTCCCACACAAATCTCTGCTCCCTACCTGGCTGAAATGCCACGTTTAGAGGAGAGGCTTTTCTTCCTTTACTTAGCTATGTCACCATGTAACACCTGTTTTAAGGTCGCTGCATTGGCTCCTCGTCCGTTTCAGGATCGATTTTAAGGTTCTTTTATTGGTTTATAAGTGTCTTAAAGGCCTTGCGCCCAGCTATTTATCTGAACTGCTTTTACCATATCGACCCTCGCGGATCCTGAGGTCCTCCGGCAGTGGCCTTTTATCCATTCCAGCAGCAAGAACTAGAACCCACGGTGAGGCGGCATTTAGCCACTACGGCCCTCACCTGTGGAACAGCCTGCCGGAGAGTCTCAGGACTGCAGAGACTGTCAATACTTTTAAAAGAAGGTTAAAGACGCACCTTTTTAATCAGGCTTTTAATTGAACTTTACTTCTTTTATATTCTTGTCATTTATTTATATTTTATCTTTGTATTTTATCTTTATGTATTTACTCTTTTAACTTTTATTCTATCTTACATAAGGCCTTTCATTCTTAAAGTTTTTAGTTTTAATTCCAGTGTTTCCTTAGGGGGGTCCTCCACACTGGGGGTTGTGTGCGGTCTGCTGCTGGGGGTGCTGTCTGCAGGTCCTCTCGGCCGGCTGGTTGGGGGGCTCCCCACCTCGTTATGGGGATCCCCCTGTCTGCCAGGTCGGGGGTCCGGGCGCTGGCGCCCCCAGTAGTCATGGTCTGCAACTCCTCCTGGTGTGGACGGCCCCAATGGTAGCGTTTCCCACAATCCCTCAGTGCCATGCCATGCCTCTTTTAGTCTCGTGGTGAGTGTGTGCGTCTGTGTGTGCGCAACTTCATTTGTTGTATGTGTATGTGTATGCATGAAGGGTGGGAGGGACAGGTTTATTTTATTTTTTTAAATGTTGTAATGTTTTTAAATGTTGTAATAGTTTTTAAATGCTTTGTTGTTTTTAAATGTTGTAAAGCACTTTGTGCTGTTGTTGAACATGAAAAGCGCTATACAAATAAAATTTGATTGATTGATTGATTGACTTGTATAATGCCTGCCTAGTGGCTAATTTGGCAACATCTTCAATCCAGAACCCTTATCAGATATGGGATACGTAACATTGCTACTTCAATCTGTTAATGTTCCTAGAGGCTTCATTCAGACACCACATGTGCAAGATTTTCATATACGCTAGATTTGACTGGACATAAGGTGATGTTTGGAGATTCTTAAATGGATTCTGCTTCGGTCTGATGCTGTTTGGGGACCAATATTGTTGCTAAAATGTGCTAAACATCCTCCCCTAAATCACTTTACGTAAGTTGAAGTACACTGTGTTTGTGTGTTCCTATCCCTTATGGCTGAAAGTCATATTGAAATGTTACTTGGTCTGACCCAGTGAAATTGCTGTTAGGAGTTTTTGGGAAACGTGAAGCCGACGCATTCAGTTGCTATAAGATTAACGAAAAGTAATCCATGTCTGAAAGTTCTGGGGTTCTAGTAGCTGACCAATCAGAACAGACTGGGCTTTTTAGGAGGGGGGCCCTAAAGAGACAGCAATAATGGAGCATTACAGACAGAGGGGAAGAAGATGTGCTGCAGCAATGCACAGTATGAGGAAAAAAAAAGTTTTTTTGGTGTTTTTTTTTAACATTAAAGCATTTAAAAATCTGCTAGTGGCTCCCAAAAATAATATTACGAAGCAGTCATGGCGCATAATATGGACTCTTCAATGTGACTGTACTTTTCGTTTTTGTCTTCTTACACTTCCTGCTGGGAAACATAAGACAAATCCCTGGAGAGACCCACATAGCACAGTCCTTTTTCCCTTTTCTCATGTATTATATAGTTGTTTTTTTTTGCGAAATACACCCCAGTATACATAATGCTGGTGTGATAAATAATTCATATCTCTGATTATTAACTGCAGGTCTGAATACTTGAAGCCTGTAGTTGGTGCAGCCATAAGGAGACACACACACACACACACACGCTCATACGTGACATATGTAGATGCACCCGCTTCATAAATATGTATTATTATTAACAAGAGGCGACAGTTGAAGGACACAGACACTGGAACCACTGCTGCTACAGTATTGATTGGCCTCAGTTAATTAGATGAACAGCAGCGAGATGCTTCCAGAAACTGTCAGACTCCCTGAACGGGAATCCCACAGCGGAAAAGAAAGATGCTTACTTGTAAACAGTGTATCATCCTCATCTTCTTCCTCATCTTCCTCTTCATCCTCATCATCTTCTTCCTCATCCTCATCTTCCTCCTCCTCCTCCTCTTCCTCGTCCTTGTACATACCCGGCAGGTCCTCGTAGTCGGCCTCATTGGGGAGGTTCTCTTTGTCATCGTCACACTCAATCATCACCGTGGGAACAGCGTGCATCATGGAACTGCAGGTTGGTGGGAAAGAGCAAAAGGTCACATGTATGCTCGCTGTACCGTGAAGTCGGTTTAAATAGTAAAATAACACGAGAGGAGCTCCACGGAAGAGCATGAAAGAGTCAATGTACAGTCAAATTCTTTGGTTTTGTGAATCTGATGTGTCACAAAATTTGTTTACAATAAATTCCATCCAATCAAGGAAGGAACAAGTGCAAGACAAAAACAATGTTGTTTGTACAAATAAACAAGTCTATACCCAAAAAACACATGAGTAGGCTCTTCCATGAACATGACCTCCTGCCTAAGGGAGAGCCTGGCTGGCAGAAAATGAATCCTCAGACAAGCAACCAATCATACTGATGGATGTGGAGGTGTGGAGTCGAGGAGCAGAGGGGGTGGAGCCAATATGCTTCCATTCGAGACTGCGGGTGATGAAATCAACAGAGTTTTCCATGCGTGACATCGTGTCGATGACAGTATTTTTCTTTCTTCATGCACTGCAGCATACAGTTCACCAGACTTCATGGTGACGTCTTCAATTGTCTTGTTTTGTCTGACCAACATCAAAAATGCATTTTTTTTTCAGTTTATCATCACAGTACATGAATGACACCAATAAATTGTACAACTTTTCTTAAAAGATTATTCATTAAAGCTAAGGGTATGAGATAATTTTCTTCAGCAAATGTTAAAATCACCCTGCTGGATTTTTAAAAGCAAAGGCTTGCTGTGTATGGAGTTGTACCATTATCAGACTGCATGCTTTTTGTGCTCACTTAGTCAGATCAGCTGACATTGTAAAATCAGGCCAGGGAAAGTAAAAATTGGTTGTTTTCAAAAATGACACGCTACACAGGATAAAACAACAAATGCTTTTACATTTCGATTCATCCCAAACACCACACATCTGTAAAAATCAAGCAGTTACTAGTCTAACATCATGTAATTTGCAATATGAAAACAAAACTAATGCTAAAACAACAGAACAAGTCTTTAACCACTGTCTCACACATTATTTATCAAATTGAATCGACACTATCTAAGCTTTAGAAAAACAAATGAACACAAAATGAAATGTTGAGTTCATAAACAATATCTAAACCCCTCCTCTGTACAACACTCGCTGTGGTAAAGTTGGACAACAAGATTTAAATTTTTACTGCTAGTATGTATTGATTCAGTGCATTGGTTAGTAGTCTCCTTGATATCTACTAATCAATATTGTTCTAAACCCCAAAAAAAGAGCATATCTGTTGACCCCCAGTAGCAGCTGCTTTAAAAACATTACATTTTAGAGCTGCAGTGAGAAGTTAATCATTTAGTTGATCAAAAGTAAATTAATGGCAGCAATAGTTTTGATAGAACATTGTAAGCACAACAGACAAATATCTAATGGTTCCAGCTTCTAAAATGTGAGACATGATAGTAAAATGACTGTATTTGGATCCGTTGGTCAAACAGAACTAGACATCCAATAGTGTCCCCTCAGGATGCAGAAAATTTTAGGAAACCTTTTTCACTTTTTTCTGACATTTTGTGGACATAGGAATAACTGATTCATGAAGAAAATAATCAGCAGAGTAATCAGTAATGAAAAAGCTCTGTGCGCCTCTGTCCACAGATTGTGTGATCCTCACCTCTCAAACCTCTGCATGGTGAGGGCCAGGGTCTTGTTGAGCTCCTCTATGATCCGGCTGGGCGGGTGGAGAGGAACAGGAAGTGTCCCGTACGGCAGCGAGTGTCCACCCATCGGAGCATGGCTGGGAGGGCCGGGGCACTTCTGGAAGGCGATCGAAGAGGGCTCCATGCTCCCTGCAGGTACGGAGATCATGAGCTTCTTTGGAGGTAGAGGAGGAGATAACTTAACCGACATACATGGCAACTTCACAGGGGCGGCGTCTGCATGAGAGGGAGGATGTAACAGAGTTAGGCATGCCAACACAAACGCAGTTAAGAGTGTGAATGAAGACATGCTGACCTGTAATATGATTAGGTAGCCTGTTGAAAGGTTTGGGTGGTAGAGCAGGAGGTTGTTTGTGTAGCGTTGGAGGTCTGGAGAGGCTTGATTCAGCGCCATCACCTGGATACATCGAGGACTTCTTTGTGGGCGGAGCCTGGCTGGACTTCTGGCCGTAGTCCTGTTGACATGCACCATCACTGGGCATTTGAAACTCCAGTGATCCTGAAGAATAAAATAAAGGCGTCAGAGGCCATAATGTGTCAAATAAGTGATGAGGTAACAGTGGTGCTGAGGCTGTGCTGCCTACCTACAGCTGCTGCTGCTCCTTCCATCAGCTCAGTACCTTCAGACTCTGATAGGCTGGAGCCGAGCACCGGAGATCGACCATTTTCCATCTTCACCTCTTCCCGCATAGCTGGAGATGCGCCATCTATAGAGAAAGACAAAGCAGGAACAGACGAAGAGGGATATCATATCTGAGAAACTGCAACTAGAAAACCTTAAAATGAAAATGGCCAAAATAAAGTGATCAATCTACAAATTGTTTCAGCGCTACAACATTGTTCTGCGTGTTGTTTGTCACCTTGGTTGTGTGCACTCTCACCTTTCTCATACACCTCCTTCAGGAGTCCTTTCTTGATGAGCTCCTCTCTGCTCTGGCGAGTGGACATTTTCCTCTCCAACACTGAGGGAACATGAGGAACGTGGTGTCAAATCGACAACAGCAAAGAGAAACCCGGTGTGCGTGATACTAAAAATGTTATGTTAGAATGTTATAATGTTGGATTAGTGCTGAGGAGTGTGTCAGCTGCAGCAGCTGTTTGTTTGGACTTGCTGCTTCCATCATTGTTGCCCAGCAATAATCTTGTGACTGAACATCTGAGCTACACACAGACTTCACAACCAGCCAGCTGATCATGTGACAGAGCCACTGCGAATATTGTGGTGCTAATGCTGGCTGCTGTGTTGCTGTCTGTCATGACCCGGCTCAGGAGGTCACAACAAAAAAGGAAGAACACCATGATAAACATTTAAATAATTATTCATTAAATCAAATATGACCAAATTAGGTAGCCAAACCAAACCTTGGTGTGCCTGTTGAGAAAGTCAGAGTAGAGAGAAAGAGAGTTAGAGCAACTGCAGGACTTAAGTAACTTCATCACA